GCTCTTATATTAAAAGAGTTGAGGTTGAAGTAAATAAGATAAAATAATTGATTAAAAAATAAAAATATAAATAATTTATATGAACATTCTCATTTATATTATTACATTATGATATAATTATGCTTTTATATTTTAAATTAATAAACAATTGTGTTTAAATCTAAGGCTGTACAAAATTCCAAAATTTACTTAATTCGCAAAATATAGTTAGAAAAATTTAATTTATCACTTTATTATTTTATTTACTACACTATTATAATATTTATTATAATATCATAATTAGTTATTGAATAACTTGTGGTATGTTTTTTTTCTCAATTAAATTAGATAAAATGCAAAAATTGTTTATAGATTTTACAAACTTGCAATTTAGAATAACTATGAGAGTTAAATAATTACACCATTATTATGGATATATACAAAGTTTCATGTAAAGCAATATATAACAATCACAATTTTCGAATCTTATGATAAAAAAAGGAAAACATAAAAAAATATATAATTTAATCAATAAATATCTATAAAAGTAGTTATCTATAAAACTAATTTTATTCTATTCTTTTTTTCTACATATATTATTAGATTTCTTTTTATGTGAAACGCTTTGTAACTTGGAGAAGTTGAGCTCTAGATTATAGAATTTTTATCCGTCACATATTTGTAGATAAATAAAAAGGTAAATACAAAAAATTCAATTTTTCTATTAAAGTAAAAGATACGAAAAACAGTTTTGTATTGTATATTAAAGTAAAAAGTTTGTGGTTCAAATTTGAAATTTTTCGTTATCTGCAGACCTTTACGAGGCGAGCTGTTGAAGAAGGTAATAATTAATCTGTATATAAGTTTTGTAAATTAACTCCATAGTGTTGTAGACATAAGTGACGTCATTTTTTTGTATTATTGAAATATGATGTATACTTTGATGACTATAAATGAAATAATGTGCACTTGAAGGATAACTTGCATGGAGTTGTGTACATTTCTGATATATACTTCTTTTAATCAATAATATCCGTTACGACTTGTTTCATATCTTAGAACAATTTTATTATTATTTGTTAATTGATATTAGTTAACTGAACAAAGTTATAAAATTATGTAGCATGCATTATTGCGGAAATGTAATTATTTTACTATTTTATCTATTGTTCAGGATTATGTGATGATCTGACATTAATGTGTGTATGTGTAATACATATGTATATACACATACACACATAGGATAAAAGAAGTAATCTAAATATTGTAACAAAATTTTCTTTTTATAAAACTTCAGATATCTGATATACAGTATGAATTAATCTGGCAATATATCAAAAACATGTATTCATTTTTAAATAATAAAAGACAAGATAAATCATTCAAACACTGTAGAATGTTCCAAGTGTCGAAACAGCGCTTAAAAATAATTAGTTTTACAATGATGCAAAAAGAGAAATTTTACGTAAACATTTTACTATAAACACTTTTGTTTGCATATTTTCTCTCATTTGAATGTGGACAGATTTAATTACTACATGTTTAATCATACGAGATATATTAGAGATATCATTTAGTAATTTTCACAATTTATTATGCTTTCAATTTTAAATCAGCGCATAAAGATATATGATCACTGGGAAACACCACAGACGGCAAACCTGTGTGAAGAGTAAGCTCTTCCTTACTAGGCATTGGAATCACTTGCTCCACTTCGAACTTGTCTCTCTCATAAAATATGTAGTCTAGACAAGCAGAGAATTCCGGCGTATAATTTGTATAATCCGGCGTGCCACAAGCGCTAGACATGCAAAGGTCCTGCGTTAAGGATATGTTTTTTATAACTTCTTCGGCATCTGGAAAAAAAAATCATAATTGCATGACAAAATACAGCGGGTAACGAAATCAGAAAGAAACGAATTTTTATAAGCTGATAATAAATAGAAGAGAGTTACTTACTGCTTTTCCAGTCTTCGCAAGTTTCCGAAACGTAATTTTTCGTTATCAATTGATAAATGCCACACTCCGGTACACTGTTAAAGTCCCCGCAAAATATTACACTCACGTTACATTCGGGATTCTGTTAACGTATTCACGACAGTTGTTAGTGATATAATACAAAGACTTTTTTATAAGATAATTTGCGAAAGTATCAAAATAATATTTCTAAATGTTTTTCTGGATACATCCATACAGATAAAAGATTTTTGTTGGAGAAAGTATCTACCTCTTCCCGTATCCTTTTCGCGACATCGTGTAGATATGTAATTGCATAATATCCTTGCAATAAACGTATATGATCGGCATCGGGTTTAAAATATAAATGCGTGTTGCCGACTACCAAGATTTCAGACCGATTCTCTTTCGATCGTAATGTCGTTACCTAAATCATTGCTAACGTTTATCCAATGAGTATATCTACTTAAAATCCTAATTACATCATACGTAATTACCTGAATGGTTGTATTTCTACCCAAAAATCTCTCTTTCGTTTTGTCATTGTCGATTTTAGACCAAATGGCAGCAAATTTAGGAAAATCAACGTTTTGAGCGATTATACTGTATTCAAATCCTAATTTTTCAAATCTATCTTGATTGAAAAATGTAGCGAGTCCTTCACTAATTTCATTCTTCGTAACGAACACACCGTCGTAATTCAGCATGTATAAAGAAGGTAACAAATCATATTCGTATATATTTTTATCTACCTCTTGCAAGCACATAATATCACTATTAAAACCTACAATAAAATCATAGAGATTAAAATTATGAAAATGATTTAAATGGCTTATTTATATTCTATTTATCACTCACCTATTATTTCTTTAAGTATCAACTGTTTTCTGTAACCCATATCTAACGCATACTGTGGACAGTATGGAAACAATACATCTTTAGAAAAATCAGAATCGGCATATGTATCTGCTAGTATATTATAACTTATCACTCTGAAACTATTTTTCTATGTTTAATATACAATTTGTAAATAAAATATATGTTTAATATATGTTATTATCATTTGTAATACAAATTCTTCCAAAACTTCATTCTTTCGAGTTAATCATCTTTTATATGAGTATCATACCTCCTACCCAATAATTTATGTTTTGTAAACTGATGTCGAATATCAAAGGGACATTCTCCAGGACCAGCTTCCACGACATTTTTTGACTCTACTTCCATCCTAGAACCTGAATCTGATTCATTCCGGGGTTCACAGCTAATTTTCAAATGACAACCAATATCAGTCACGCTAGGTACATATAGATATCCATTGCCTACATATGTCCACAAGTTTGGCTTGTTAACAGGATCGTTCCTATACCAGTCAAATGTCGATTGCTTCTTGTTAGTATATAGTGATTCAAACTTAGATGGATAGGTCGGAAAACCTGCCAATATGCATGATGGTAACAAAATTTTGGTAATATAAGGTGCATTTCGTTTCACTAAGAAGGTCTTCTCAAAAATGACCAGTTTTAGCTCTGCAGAATCCTGCAAAAGGCTTTCACACAATGTATCACCATCCACTTTGACATCATTCTTGAGAAGCATGATCTTTCCACTATTTACATTGTCTTTTGCCAAATCGGGTGCCTCATAAGCAGCATTCTTCTTCTTTCTTCTTTCTACCTAAAGAAAAAAGTTTTTATTTCTCTCAGGTATTTTTTATTTTAAAGTTTATCTCTAAAAAAATATTAATTCTGCAGATTTCAATATCTAATTTGTTTACAAATTGTATGAAAAATTCTATTTTGTATCATAACTTTTATTTTTCTAGGAAAATTCTTTTTCGATAGTATATATATACTTATAGATATTCCATATTAAAAAGTAATATTATAATTTCAAGTATAACAATAAACGGAAGTCTAATAACAAAGAAAAGGAAAAGAGAAGAAAAGAAAAAACTCACCTTTTTGTTTACGATCTTGCAAACGTTTGTGTCAACCCTTTTGAGGAAATTATTCACGCTCTCCGCGACTTGTCTGGAAAAGTTGAACTGACGGTCGATCATTGTCACCTCGTCCACGTAGCGAAACGAGATGTCAAACATATCGTTGCCTTTATCGTAGCGGAGAAATGCCTCGTTCATCTTTAGTATTTGTTTCGCTTGAAAGTGCTTACTGCGATACGACGTAAGGAACGGTGAAATTAGGTGAATTCTGTGCACAAGCAATTTAGCCGCGAACGTATTTCGCATTATAATCAATCGTGATTCATTCGGCCAGGAAATATCATGTAGATTCTTTTTTTTAGGACAGACAATTAGACACTAAAAACATATTTTTAATTAAATTAAATTATTAAAACAAATAATCATTACACAAAAATCAGAAAATGTGAGGTTACAAGTACCTTTTGCGGTGTTCTCTCAACTCTTTCATACACGCGTAAAAACCATGTAGATAGACGTAACTTCGACAAAGATACTCCGCTGTTACATTTCGGAGCATATTTTGAGACTTATCGACAACATATGGTAGAATTTTATATCGATAAGTACACAGTATACCATGGATAGATATTTGATGAAGATTATATTCTGTACCGTAGGTTTAGATGGCGCCATAAACGCCATTATTGTGTTTCTATCATAAGAGTTAGAACAAATCAAATTTTCATTGATTACACTGATTTTTACTCCCGATTGCTGTAAGTTGACTTGTAGAGAATATAGATGAGTTAAAAAATAAAACGCGTGAAGTATCTAGCATTAACTTCTGTTTATTCATATTGTCAGATTATTCAAATCGTTGATATACTTGATTAGGAAGAAAGTTATATTACGGATTTAAATTGATTCAATTGCGAAAGAGATGTGAAAGGTAAAAAAAGACATAAAAGTTGAATATATCTTTATAGATTACATTAACAAATTTTTAACTTTTTGTTTCAGAATATTTTATTTTCTCAAGAGAGACATTAATTGTATTCTATATAATTCCAGAGAAATTATATTCTATAATTAATTTCAATTTTATGTGTCAAGTGGGGAAATAATATTATTTATTTGTTTTCTAACTTTTTTCCTTATATTTTTCTCCTTTCGTATCTTGACTATTCTCTAATTGCGTTTCTTCCGATTTTACTTCCGCATATTTTTCCGATTTTGTTTCATCACGTTTTTCTGATTTTGTTTCTTCGCATTCTTCTGATTTAGTTTCCTTATATTTTTCTGATTTTGTTTCTTCATGTCCTTCTAATTTTACTTCGTTGATCTGTTCTGATTTCGTTTCTTTGTATTCTGCTCGAGGATTCCCTTTCTCGGATTTTTCTGATCTGGTTTCTTCACGATTCTCTATTTTTATTTCTTCACGATTCTGTGACTTCATTTCTTCATAATTCACTGATTTTGTTTCTTCACGATTCTCTGTTTTTTCTCTTATTATTTCTTCGCCATTTTCTGATTTTGTTTCCTCCGGTTTCTCTGAGTTTGCTTCTTTGCAATTCTTTGATTTTGTTTCCTCATGTTTTTCTGAGTTTGTTTCTTTGGAATTCTTAGATTTTGTTTCCTCAAGTTTTTCTGAGTTTGTTTTTTTGGGATTCTTTGATTTTGTTTCCTCAAGTTTCTCTGAGTTTATTTCTTTGGGATTCTTTGATTTTGTTTCCTCAAGTTTCTCTGAGTTTGTTTCTTTGAGATTCTTTGACTTTGTTTCCTCCTGCTTCTCGGATTTCGTCTCTTCGCATTTTTTAAATTTTGTATCACTATATTTTGCAAATATCGCCTCTTCAGTTTTAAGATTCTCGTTAGACTTTTTCTTAAACTCTTCTCTCTTTTTCTTTTTTAATCGCTCTTCTTTTGTTGAATATTTAACAGTCACACATGTCGGTATTTTTCTCTTAATCATCTGTAAATTTTCTAGTTTAATAATCACGCCATTGATCATTTTATAACAATTGTTTACCTTACGGGGCAATATTTTTTTGCTTGTCATTTTTTTGGCAGTCACAGTCTTATCCCAAGCTAGTTTTTCCTGCCACCAAATTCGTTGATATTCATTCGATAGTAGTTGTTCTATGCGAGATTCTTTCTCTCTGTACAAGAATAGTAAATAAAAATATTACTTATAATAGTATAATATTATTACGTTTATTATAATGACAAAATTAATAATTAAAATTATATAAAAATTGATATAGAATCTATAAATATAATAATAAATTACAATTTTGCTAAAATTTGAAAATTAAAGAAAAATATAACATAGAAAATTATTATTTAATAATATTCTTAAGTGCAAAATATTGATTTTTTTATTAAAAAAAAAAAGTAATTTTACACACACAATATTTTTTTTGAAGTTGAGATTTATTATATAATTTTGTACTATATCTTAAACAATTTAGTATCACAGATCATTAAACCTCGGTGAATAATTATTGCGAACGAAAAAAGTAAAAAAACTTTCTAATTTAAAGCTTGAGACTTGTATTTTAGCATACTTTTGCCATAAAAAAAAATTAATTTTACAGTTTTATATTTTAACAAAAATTATATTGTTCCCGGCAGTCTGCAGCTTGACAAAAAATGTTTTGTCAAAAAATTTTCTGCAAACTGTTGAATGCACAAAATTTTAAAGAACATTATAATGTAATGTTTATTAAGATTTAAAAAAATGATAAAAATACACATTTTTTAAAAACGCAGTTAAAAGCATGTTAAAGTACAAGTCTCAAACTTTAAAATAATCTTTTTTTATTTTTCATCTGCATTAATTCTTTATCCAGTTTCGACGATTGGAAGATTGTGCATTTTCAAGTGTTTTGAAAGTGTTTTCTATTTTTTGTTGAGTAGTGTATAATTAAAAATCATTCTGATCATTAAAATCATTCTGATAATTAAATTAATAAACATAAATTAGCATCTCATATTATTAGACGCATATTGTTTCTTATTTATATTTAAAAAAATGCGATTTCAAGTCGCAAGACAGAGAGAGAGAGAGAGAGAGAGACTAGAGAGAGAGAGAGAGAGAGAGAGAGAGAGAGAGAGATTTTAGAGAGAGAGAGAGAGAGAGAGAGAGAGAGAGAGAGAGAGAGAGAGAGAGAGAGATATGTGATAATTATAATTCATACTTTTCGTAGGATGGCACGAACGCTCTTGTTGTCGTATAACTCGAGGACACGATGTTGTCCGGTATCTTGCACGGTACTGCAGGAGTCCATGCTTTTAAACGTAAGTCCGTTGCATTCATACGGATGACCCGAGGGCGCCTTTGAATCTATCTATCCTGCGTCGGTTATTAACGGTTCGTCGCGATTTCTTCTCAGATTTGGCGAGTTCTCGCGAAGGTTATCGCGGAGGACGAGCCTGACAAATGCGTGGCGAATGCCGACTGTCGAGGCCGAATAACGAAGGAGGCTCTGGAATGACTGGAATGCGTTTTTCATTGAAATATTCGACGAGGTCACCGAGCGATTTATCGACTCGAATAGTTAATTTCGTGATTAATATACTTATAATGACTAACGATCAAACGATTAAATATGATAGTTGTTGTTTGTTTACATTTTTTATTTTACAAAAATAAGACATTCGTAATAAATAATAATATATTATAGCAATTTAAACGTATTATATGGCAACAATAATAATACATTGCTAATAGTATTATTCAATATTGAAAGAAAAATGAATGATATAATTTATTTAGAAAGAAATTAACATTATTTGCGTTACATGAAATTTTCTACACATTTGTATCTTACATTTTTTTTATTAGTGAAATTTGCATTATTTTAAGTCCAAAAATGTAGAATATATTTTATGATATAAGACATACACGTATAAATAGATAATTTTTTGCACTATTACAAGAACCACGTCTAACTCTCTACTGCCTGTTTCTTTGGACACATATTTCATCATTTTTTGCACTATTATATTTTGAAAAAATGTCCAAACTTTATGTTTGCGATTTTTTATTATAACGTGAAACAGTTTTCATTTTTTATTTATTTAAAAAAAAATTAATAGCCAAACACACATGCGCACACTCACACACACTTTATTTATATATCTTTTTTAATATACAAGTAAGAGATAAAGCCTCTGTAACGGTTAAAACTGGATCTTACATGTTTAAATATTTCCATATAATTTATATATTATATGTAAATGGATTTAGGGAGACGCTATTAGCGCTATCCGTGTTATTCTATCTTCATCGTTTATTAGAAGTAGATAGAATGATACAAATAGCGCTAATAGCGTCTCCCCGAACGCACCTTACGTAATATAGCTAGTCATTTAATGCATGTCAAATTGATTCTTCGGATTAAGAAACGTAAACAACTGAATTTAATTATTATGCATATATAAGTATATATATTTATTAAGAGACGACCTTAATAAATATATATAAATAAAATTGGAAAAGAAGTCCGCCACAGATTTCTCGTTCCCGTTGACCTTTTTTCTTTTCTTTCAAGTTATAACTGGTGATACTTGCACGCCGATGTTATCACGCTAATTATAGAAATACGTGTTAAGCGTATTAGTCGCTGTAATACACGAGTTCGGTCATTTCAGGTTACGCGCGATGACCGTGAATGCCGATGATTAATCTCGTGGTTTAATACCTTCACGCATGAGCGTGCGCAAACGGAACCCACGTTACCCTATGAATTAATGTCCTTTTATTAAGGGTTAGTTAACGCCGCGGGGTTAGTTAATTTTTCATTCGATGTGTCACCTCGTCGGCTTGATTTGTAAGCACAACGTGATGTAATTCCAGCGCTCATTTCATAATACTGGGCAAATCGGAGCAATCGTATGACCTTTTTTTGCTGATAATGTTTAGTCGTTCATTAATAAGATTGCGTAAACAGTTGCCACATAGGTTAATGGCCACATAATAATATATTTGGATATTTTATTAAGAATAATCTTAACTAATAGCGCGCAAAACGAAATCAATATCTATTATATGCTTTATTAAATAATATGTTTTGGGAGATAAATATACTTTTGTTATTAAATAATAAGAAGAGTTATTAATATATATATCTATAATTAATACAGAGATCATGTATCAGTGAAGAAGTCAATATCTGCGTAATTATGCATCAAGTAAATCGTGATTGGAGGAAGTAAAAGTTTCTTTGATCATGTTCGAGGAAGTTAATCGATTAAATTGTCTGCATTAATCTGATTAGCATTGCAAATCTCAATCCTTGGTCGTCTAAATAACACGTTTCAATCATATAAATCTTGACATATAATTTTCACCAATTTGCGGTTACATAATCGTATAGCTGTTTCGTCGCGAGAAAGTCCGCGAGATATCTCGTGAGAGACACAAAACCGAAAGTGGTCTTGTGTCGAAAAACGAACGGAGGGATGCGGATAAATGAAATCAATTGATATAATCGCGAAGGACACTCGCATTCATGCTAATGAATTTTTTGCTCTACATTGATACTAATCGCAGGTATATGCATATTACGTGTTTGTGATACTGCATATACTTTTCATTAAGTCGTGTGGCCAAGCCACACCTGTGCGAACCAGGGACAATCCTCGAGGTCGATATTTTTAGCCGGTCACCCGAATCTCGCGAATCGAATCCGGTTATATTCTGGAAAAGAGAAAGAGTCAAAGAGATGTCCGATCTCAGGTTAAATTGTCGTGACAATGTTCTTTACCGTTAATGTTTTATTTTAATCTCTATAATTATCTCTTTTTTTTAGCAGCTATAATTATCTTTTCCAAATTACACCTTATTACTTCATTTTTCTCCGTTTTATATTTTTCGCGCTTAATTACTTATCGATAATATTTTTGTTACGTTTATATGTAATTGAGATAATCTCACTTTTTACAATAATTCGCAGCAATTATGCAATTACTTTTTTATGATACGAAATATTATAGTAATAAATATATTACATTGTTTAGTTACGCGAGTTTGAAGTTTCTTGAATAGTAGATATATATATTTATAATGCAGAGAAAAAAATATAATTAATTTTAATAAATATTTAGCTTAATATACTTCCAACTAAATGTTTACAGTAAACAAATACTTCTTTATTAAAAAAAGATCATGATTGCTTGTATAAGTATAGAACATAAAATAATTTTATTCCTTACGATAATTCGATTTGATAAAATTGCAAGATCCAATTATTTTCGTTGAGATCTCTTTGGTTTATTTATATGACGCAAAAATTACCGCCGCGACCCAAATACTATTTACAATCGTATTCGCAGACAATGTTCACAGCCGGCGTTTTTTAATTTATCGCGACGTCAGGATCGCGAAGAGATTTCTCGGCGTAATTGCGTTCGCGTTCGCTTTAGTCGCTCGCGTTACTTAATTGACTTTTTTTGTCGGTTTTAATCGGGTTGCACAATGTCGTTTTCTGCCACACGGATCTTGCGCGCGCGCACGCACTCACGCATCTACAATATTTGCATAAAGGATATCATGTTCCACAGCCGGAATAATCTGGCCCGCTGCCCGCATAATCCCGATGGCTTTCTGGCGGCCATCGTGCGATTGCGCTTTGTAACAACTTGGAGATATGCAAAATCGAGTTTTTTTTATTAGGCCCGCGCACGTTTGCAGATAAATTTTCCATTTCAAACATCTGAATCAATTTTTCGAACAAGATTATTATATTATTATTATAATGTATATATGAGACAAAGCTTATTTAATTCTTTCTATATATCTCTTATGAAAGAAATCTAAAAGTTTCATAAGAATGCTTTTTCCAGTGTATATAGATTTATACAGACACGATTGAATTTTTCCAAAACTATGTTTTTCATTGAGAAATTAAAAATATTAATAATTTTTACTCGTTCTTGCAATGCAAATCAAAATAAATAAACGATCTATATCGAGCTAAATGATAAATGAGAACATAAAGTGAAAAACTAACTAAAGTGTCGCACGTTTCGGAACTCATAGGTCCTTCTTCAGTGATTCTTACAGATGTTTGTCGTTGGATTGATAATATTTTCTTATGATGTGTGATGATGCGATACAGACATACTGATATAATAATTATAGTTCGGAATAATTTTCCTGTTCTCAATGCGAGTGTAAAGGCATGTGAGACCACCGTTACAAGTTCGTCCGATTGAGTTGAACGTAGATGTTACAATGTAATAATTCGCTTTATGTCCTCATTTATATTATAAAATTTAAGAACAATATTAATTCCACTTAGCTCGCTATAGTCCGTTTATTTATTTTAAAAATATTATTAATTACGAATAATAATTAGAAAAATCTATACATTGCTCTTTTCTGATAAACTATAATTTTTATCCGTTGGACTTACAGTCCATCGATAAAATAAATTACTCTTTCTGCGCGTAATCGTATAAATGGCACTAAAGACAAATGAGGGGGAATGAGAAAACATTATTGACAAGATTTTTTTGCGACAAGACACTGCAACTCGTGTTGTTCCTGCTTATTATCGCGGTCAAACAGTCGCAGGTGACTTCGAACAATTAGAATTCAGGCCGTGATAGCACACATTAAGAACAGATTTATATTAAGTATACGTTTCGTTTTGCGTGGACGGCGCGTGTGAGAGGCCCGAAGGAAAATCGAAAGTCCGCCGATGTAGCGCCAGCTGAACTTCAGAGATTGGAGGGCCCACTGGGACGACGACGTTACGTGATTTGGCAAATTGCTCATATCTGCTTAATTAATGGGAAAACGCACGTATTGGGCGTCGCACGGGTTGCAGCTGCGCTCGCGCGTCGCTGGCAGATGCGTCGGTCGCGCGTTCGGGATTTTTTTTATTTACTTCTGCCATTTAAACGTATCGTGATTATGGCAAAACGAAAATCTGGGTCGGAGAAACTTCGACACCGCTCTCGTTTTCGTCCTTCTCGTGTTTTTTTTTCCTCTTACGTTTTTTCTCCGCAGCTTTTATCTTTTCTGCAGGAACATCTGGAGCGTTGATAAACGAATGATCTGCGAATATGTAAATGCGCGAGAGAATGTTCTTCTTTCTCGGGCAACGATAAATCGACAGTGATTTAACACAAACGTTATTAAAATGTAAGAGAAAGAATAAGATGAAGAGTTATTTTTATTAATATATTTTATTATTGTTACTTTCTTTCTATAAATTAATTGCAAAAGAAACATGGGTAAACTTTATACGAATACATACAAACATTATTTTAAAAAATCTTTAAACTTTATTTAAACATGGAGTAAATAATTTAGCTAAAGTATCTATAAAAATTAGGTAGATATATAAATCCGAAAATAATGTAACTGTCAAAATAATTATGTATAGGACGCTTAAGTTGGTTGCTAGAATATTAAAATTTTTTGTAAGGTTGAATTTTTTAATTATTTTGATGATTTAATAAAATTATTTTC